TTTCAATGTTCATGCATTGCTGAACTTTATCTTGTATGCAGCGCCATCTGCCAGTGTTTATTCACAGCCTGCAAATATTTCAATGACAATATTGAAAAATGGTGAGTGGGTCTCCAGCATAACTAAAACCACAACCACAATGCATCGTGGCTCAAAGAGCGCCTATAATATCACGGCTAAATACGAGACGGTCGTGAAGACTGTCAAAATCCTTACTTTGACAGTGAGAGCCGGTTGTTTAGTTTTCAGGCTTCCGAAACCGGGTCCGGTCGTTTAGACACTACCTTTTAGTTATGCTGGAGACACTCACCATTGCAATATTGTCATTGAATATTCACAGGTGTGAATAAACACTGGCAGATGGCGTGCATACAAGATAAGTTCAGCAATGCCATGAACATGAAAATCACTGCTGAACAGATATGGCAGCATCTAGGAACTATGTACGACTTGCAGGCTCTGGTAAGGCGTTGGTGTTGTTGCTGGTGTTGTTGTTGCTATTGCTGTTGCTGTTTTTGTTGTTGTTGTTGTTGTTGCTGTTGTTATAGTCTACAAGACTATAGACAGGCATCCCCAACATATATATGTTATCTGGCTTCTACTAGATAGTTAGACATTGAACCATTCCACCATCTTGCTATGTATTCAAGTAGTTTCAAATTAACATCGAGTTATCGTATCGACATTCTTAGTAAACAAGTTATTCCTGCATTTACTAATCATTTGTGTACGTCTATAGAAACAAATTTGTTATGAAATACATTTGCAAATATGTGGAATATTACTTGTCACATACAAGTAAGTAATTGTGTAGTTTAATGATTGCTTGTGCTTCAGGTGTGTGAAGTAACATAATTTGAAAATTAATTTTTCAGTTTATTGTAAATGATATCGACAAATATGGCTCATCTGTGTGAATGATTTGTAATTTCTTCTTGTATGCAGCATGACTCAGAGATTATACCATTTCCTGTCAAGGAGGTAGACTTTAACTTACCACAATCAGAGTTTGGCGAACAAATGAAAGACAAGCAGAAAGGGGCTCAGAAAGGAAAAGAGACCCCGGGAAAGGAGAAGAAAGAGAAGAACAAAGATACACCGAAAGAGAAAGGGAAGGATACGGTGAAGGAGAAGGGCAAAGATACTCCGAAAGAAAGAGGGAAGGATAAAGATTATAAAGAGAAGGTGAAAGAGTCACCAAGGGAGAAGGGGAAGGACACAGTGAAGGAAAAGACAAGAGAACATCACAGAAGTTACGAGAGAAGCCGAGATCGTGAGAGCCTATCGTCTGATGAAGGTAGATAGAATCCATGGCATACATCATTAGTAAATGCTTTGGTGTATTTGATAAATTGGTTGCAGATTGATCATTTGCATCTTTATATATATATATATATATA